GACTAGGAATCTGTAGCAATATATAGGATGGAAGTGGAATCTCCAAACTTTTAACTGAGGAGCCGATAATCGACTCCGGTCATCAAATGACAACCAACATGATGTCACCAACAACAGCCAAAGTTCTTATGAAGAGGGAACCAATCTCCTTCAGAGTAATAATAGCGGGAAAGTTACTAATATACTATAATTTGTTTCTACAAACGATGGAGATCAAGAGATTAAGGAAGACTACTCCAGACAATGAAGACGAGACACCCAATGGGGATATCAGAATTCTAATGTGTGAAATAACAGCAACTCGAATTTGGAGCATACAATACAGGAAAAGAACGCATCATGGGTCAAGAGGTTGTTAGAGAAATAAAAAAGAACGGAGAGCTTCTCTCAGACTTCTCTTCATTCAGTGATTTAATGATTGGAGGTAGCGTGTACAGTCATAAGGATATACATAAAGTGACATGAATTTCACCTGATGGACACACTTAAAACTAGATAGACTTCATCTCAGTCTCAAGAAATTTAAAATGACGTCCACTAGTCACAAAGTCTAGGAGGAGAGCAGGTTTGAGCTCAAACCACTATCTAGTGCAAAGAACTCTGAAGATCAAATTGAAAGCCTTCAAAAAACTGGACTATCCTATTATTGTTTCCTTTAATTCCCAGAGGAACATGGGGCTTTCTGCTGAGTGCTGTTGATCTCCACACAGACTTGGAAGGAACGAAAGCTTGCCTTGTTTCCCGATCCTCGCCTTGATATCCTCGACAGTTCCGTTCGCCTGTAGTTGAAGCGATGCTTCCAAGGTAGGTACGTAGGTAGGTCAAGAAGGTTGCTTCTTTCAAATTTCTCCCATTCATGCTGATTGTTGTTCGTTGTTGTTGCTGTGGCTGTTGGCCAGGATTCTTCATCACCACATCTGTTTTCTCTGTGTTCACCTGAAAGAAGTCCTATCATCTCGGGATGCTTCTTCTGCCAAATTGTTGCTTTTCACTTGCATATCTTCCAGTTTGTGGGAAATCAGACATATATCATCGTCGAAACTCTGATCCAGATCCTCCAAGTTTTCGTGTGGGTCCATTTTATGCCTGTCTCCTCGTCTCCCGTTGTCTGTCTGTCACATTATCCAGTCTACCGCATTCACGAAAATCATTGGAGATAGTAGGCAGCCAGCCAGCCTTGTATTACTCTGGTCTTCACTTCGAAGGATTCTGCGAGTTTCCCATTGTGGATTAATTGGCATGCAGCATTGTCGCACAACTGTTGGATGAGGTGTATAATTGTTGATGGCACCCCGTAGTAGTGAAGTAGTTGCCAAATCACCTCTCGATTGACACTGTCGAAGGTCTTTTCAAAAACTGTGGAGTTGAGGTAGAGAGGCGACTGCCATTCCAAGCTTTGTTCAATGATGATCCGTAGTGTTGTGATTTGGTCGATGCATCACTTGTTTCTCCTGAATCCAGTCTGATCCAGGGTGGCGTGTTTGCTTCTCTCCAGGATGATGCGGTTTAGTAATTTGCTAGGGATGAACAGGTGCATTATGCCACGCCAGTTCTTGCATTGACTTAAGTTTCTTTTCTTTGGCAGTTTGAATAGGTAGGCTTTCTTCTAATCGGCAGATACCTTGCCCTCTTTCCACACCTTCTCCAGTAGTGGTGTCATCAAGCCCTCTAATGTCAAAAAAGAAGCTAGAGACGGACTACAATTGAAAACCTGAAGGACGAAGCTCCAAAAGACACCTTCACTTCAGCCACCAAGGAATAGTTGCAGACACTTTATAGCATCCCCTGAAAAACCTAAATGTAAGAACACTGGAACTCTCTGAAAGTTACGTTAAAGGTAACCTGTCAATCTGCCTTAAGAAGAAAGTCGAGATAGGGCACGCGGACACAGTGAAGCTAATGGAGGAAAGGAGGATGGTAAAACAAGAGGTTTACTAATATAAAGATCAACAACAGAAGGAGAAGCTGTGTACATCACACTGAGCAGTGGGAAGACGAAGAATAATTTTATGATAGCTGTAGCAGAGTGAACTGCAGGTAAAGGGGACCTCCGTACATTATATCAGATAACCAGGTCGATGTCAGGAAAGATATAAGCGCAGAAAAAATTATTGGAAAATAATGAAAGAAATCCTGTCACGAAAGATATCGAGCAGAGGAAACGCTGCTCTGATCACTTCGAAGGACTTCTCAATCAACCGTTGCCTGCAATCCACCCAGAAATAACACTAATAGCCACATAACTGTCAGGACGCATCAATTCTCCAACAAAAACAGAGTTATTCAATGCCACATAATTACTGAACCCCGCTAAAGCAACTAGAACAAACGGAATCTTCCCAGAAGCACTGAAAACGGATCGAGAGACCTTAGAGGGTATCTTCATGCCACTACCGCAAAATGTTTTTAAGGAAAGAAAGTTACCTACTAGCAGCAAGACAAGGTTCGGGCACATTTAGCCTCCGCAAAAATGGAGTGGAATCATGCTGTTTTCCAGTCCAAACAAAATATTTGGTTTTATCGTTCTGGAGAGACTCGAAAATATTCTTCATGCAAAACTCCACCCTAAATAGACTGGATCCAGGGAAAACAAATCATATGTGAAACGTAGTGGAATACCTTGAATTATCATCGAATAAAGCATACAGTGGCAATCAGATTTCAGCCTCAAATTCATCAACTTTTAAGGGGCTTTTGATAGCATTGGCTGTGAAGTAATTTTGAAACTGCTTCACTACTGTGCAGTACAGTACCACAGGCTTGTATAAACTTCACTTAAGACTTATATGATCATAGGGAATGACAAGATATTCGCAATAGCAAGATCAGTGAGGTGTTTGAAGTGTTGACAGCAGTGAAACAATGCTGTCTGCTATCATCGCCAATCATATTCCTGGGTCTGGTGTACTGGATCATGCGACAGACTGTGGGGGGAGTGAAAAAGGGACATATGCTGGACTGACAAGAAGACATTTCTCAAATTTTTGATGTTTCGTGTCCTCAAAACCTCGAGATTTATGGAGGAAAGCCAAGAAGTTTTCAGAAGATGGTACTTCAAGTGAACATATGGAAGAGAGAGGTGGTGAAGATACCCAACGACTAAAAACAGGCAATAATCATCACCAGTTGTTTCATTCACCTAGTTAGCACCGTTTCAGCTACACACAGACGGAGAAATTAAGATATCAAAGAAGGGATCATAGAGGCAGAATAGACCTTAATTACTCTAAAATCTATGTGGAAATCTATTGCATTCAGGATGAAGAAGAAGATTCAGATTTTCAACACTTGTGTCAATTCACTTCTTCTACATACTTCAGAGACTTGGAGCATCATGAGAAGCATCTCCATTGGGCTGTGGACATTTATCAGCTGCTGTCTTCAGATGGATAGGATCACACTAAGAAACAAATAATTCTAGCAACGAACCGATCAATAATTTGTTGCCAAATATGTGTGCAGAATGAAACGGAGATGAATCAGACTTTCTCTTAGGATGTTGCTCAGTGAGGACGCATCAGACTTTCGATAACAGCCCCGACTGGAAGAGGTATGTTGGGTATCCAAGGTTGAGACTGAGACAACTGTGTGAAGGGGAGGAGGTTAAAGCTTATGTGCAATCGTGAGTTTAGCTACAAAATATTGCAGAGAAGAGGATTAGATGGTATGCTTCTGAAGCCCTAATTTCTTCTCCAAACTAAAGGGAATAATAATTGTGTTCGAAACATCATTCAGTAAGTAATGCTATTTAACTATGTTATATAACGAATAAACACATACAAAATTAATAATCAGTGCCTTCATTCCTCTGAATGGAATCAAGAAAAAGAAAGCGACCAGACTATGATCACTAAATGTGCTCACTACTAAAAAACTGAAAGCGAAGAAAGTGAATTGTAAGTTAGGTGATCAGTGATCCTTCTCTGTTCTGTTTAACATCTAGTAACACCATAATAGTAACTTATTATTTCTGAAATTTAGAGAAAATTTTAATATATACGCAATTACTGAATAAAAACTATTAAAATGATGATTACTGCTATGAATCTGACGTTACTCTATAGTCTTATCAAATCTTCTTTGATTATCAGAGTAGACATATCTATTACAAAGGATCTTCACAACAAATCTGCTTACGTAAGGGGAACTGATGGTGTTTTTTGAGTGCTTGTTTTAGATTCTTTAGTAAAATACATTCTTAACGCAAAACGAGATTCAACAGAAGTCAAGGAATCCCACAGTAAGTACTTTAATCCCACATATTTTTTGCCAGTTTCCGAAATAAATTTTAAAATTTTACGTAAGTTGTAGTGACTGCTATCAAAACCAATCTGCGCTCTGTCACTTGATTTCGACAGCCAGTCTGAGCTGTGATACGTCGTAAGCTGCCTTCAGTATTCTGGCTTTATTAGAGTATTTCAGCATAACTACCGGTGAATACTAGAACTATTCATTGAAACAAGCAGGATAGCTTTTGTGTTTGCCAAATATTTTTCTGTGTCTACACCAGTGATCCTTATGGTGTAGTGCTTCTTCATCCTTTATGTATTTCTGTTTATTAAGTTGTAATTAATTATTCTGCCATTCTTTGTACTGATGACATTTTTGTGAAAATTATTTGTTACTTTAAGAAAATCATTCAAATTTTGGCTCAGTAATATTTTCACTGGATCATACGGAGAACTCACGTTTTTATCAGGAGACTCGGTGTATCATCGAATATCTAATTAATTTACCTACAAAAATATTCTGTTGACACGTTAATAAACAATTGGAAGATTTTATACAAGATTATGTATGCTATAATATTAGACACGAAAATAGCTAGGATATCTTGTATGAATAATTATTGTTTGTCTGTCTATCTGCATATTACTTACTATAGTTTGCTATCCATTGTACCTGTCAGTTATACTATTCAGTGGTTGGATAAAATTTATTTTCCACGTTGAACTGTAATCATTTGTGTCATGCTAATATAAAAGTTGTACAATGAGCTATTCAGTAATTGTTTTTCATAAATATTGGCACAATTTACTTGGAAATTAACAAAATTTATCATTCAAGTAAGTTAATTTTTTAATCACTGTGTTAAAAATACTGAATGTTTAATTGTACACGTAATTATTATTAATATGACTTTAATTTTTTTTTTGTTACTCGAAAAAACATGTGACCACTGTTTGACAGAAACTGGTGAATGAATCGACAGCGCTCCATTCTGTCTAAGCAAAAGGGATTACAGTTTATCTAGGAATACTGAGTAACAACTCAAGAAAATGATCCTGAATACTCGGAGCGGTGCTGTTTCAATGAATGTCATCACTAAGTCTTAAACGAAGGCAAAAGAATTTCTCAAAAGCTGTAGTGATGCATTGGCATTATGATTCTGTTATATCAGTGAATGATGAAGTGAGACTAGAATTTGACAGCGGTTTTATTATAACGTTTTCTCACTTACCCACTTAAAGTAGAATTCTTAGGGGAGAAACTGGAAACTTCAAAACATTTGTAATGACTAGCATGTTGATTTGCTTATTTCCTTCGAGACATTAGAGGGAAAAGAACGAAATGTTTAGGCACTTAACACTAAACTGATATTCTATTTTAATCATACATTTTAAATTTCATGATCATAGGGTGTAGTTTTTATATGGGTTTTCAATTTCGAAAATAACTTAGAGCTAAGAAATGAAAAGATGTTCTATGTAATTCAATTTCTGGAAGCTACGAGCTCATGATTCACTATATGTTAAGGATTCTGAACAAATTTTACAGTTGATTGAAGTTGTGAAAAGTTTACTAGTTAATTTACTTCTCGTGATTATATTTCAGACATGAGAAATATTGGAGAACATAAGCATGTGAATGCGTATTTTTAAATTATCAAACACTTTGGATTGAATAATTCACCTTACATCATATAGTGGTGAGAAAGAAACGAATTCGACAAACGTCAGATGATAATAACTAATCCTTTATGTTTCATAACCAGTTACCTGCAGATCCTGATCATTGATTGACACCTGATTAAAGCACTTCAAATTGTGGTTTTTGCTATTCTAAGATGTCTGTAAGAATTTTTACAGCTTTCTTTGAAGTTTTATGCCGTTCAGTTATCCTTCGTTTTGTCTGGTGACAGAAGTATTATTTATTTTTAGGCAGCTATATGATAACGTTTCAGAAAACAATTTGCTTTGTTCTTAATTGAGTGTGCTTACAATGGTGATTCTAGAGAATTCCATTGTAATGATTTTGAAGTTGTTCGGAAAAAGCATGTTTGCTTTAAAACTAATCAAACGAATAAACGATTTGAAGAAAGTGTATCAGTTATCTTTGATTAATCTGACTATCCTGGTTACTTTTATTTGCAATGTACTAATGGAATAAAATCTTATATTATTATGCAAATCTGCAGTTACTGACCAAACAGAGACAATATATTCCGATTTTGACTTTGTGTCGATGACTGAAGTCATAGTCTAAAACTACACTTGGATGCTATCTGATAACAGCTATTTTAAGCTTGTTAGGTTTACATTTCAATGAAAAATATCTCCCTCATGAAGTAGTCTATCCCATGGCCCAAGTTCTGCTCACCTGTTTGGCAAATAAGTTTTACCTACTATACATTTGTTTTCAGATATATTCGGCAATTCAGGTTTAGGAGTCACCAGTTATGTCATTCAAATTGTAGATTCTGTAATTGAGCAAGATGTATTGTTAGTTACAAACAGTCTACGGGCTCGCCTTGTAACCGGAAGGTCCTGGGTTCGAACCCCGGTGAATGCGTACTGCCGAAGAGTCTCAAACTAGGACGAAACAGCTGTCCAGCACTCCTAGGTTTTCCAGTGGTCCTCTAACCAATGCCAGCTCATGATGAAATCCTGTAACCAATCAATTTAATCCCTACAAACCAATACTTGAAGAACAGTAAAGTACTCATTTTGTCATAAGCATGAACGAAGTCAGTATTTATCTTAAGTGGAAACATCTGACTTTATTAATAAAACTTCTACAAAAATGTTTACTAAGTCAGCACTCTGATCCTGTGGATATAAGGCCTTATGTATGATCAATACCTGTCTAGGTGGTATTTCGACGCAGAGAGCATTTCTCTCCTCTGGTATGTGAACTGATTTAAAAGTAATATTGTTTCATAGTTAAATAAGCAAATAACCTCTGTCTTGTTATACTTTTTGGATGTTTATTAATATACGGTTCATTTTGTAACTAATATACGACAAGCGTAGGACAGGACCACCACTTAATCTAGACACTTGTTGTTTTTATCTGAATCAAAGCAACAATTGTCCCGGCATTAGAGTACTTCACCTTGTTACTGGGCTGATAAAGTTTAGTTTGGACTCACTGCCTTTCATTATTTATTCTTTTCAAATAGTGTATTTTAACAAACTTATCGTAGAGTAGTAGGATGACGGCGTTTGAAAAAAATTTCTTCGACAAATAAAATATTTATTTAAACCTGAGTCACGAAACAGCTGTCATTTTCTGTCACACAATTACCATTGTGATTACATTTTAAAAATCTAAGAAACTCTACCAGACTAGAAAACCTGTTAACCCAGAATTTTCAAAATTTATAATAGATATATTTACTTTTAATATGTTTATTAGTACTACAGTGTACAAGTGCATCATAAAAAATACGGAAAAACGGATGACCATAGGAATACCATCATATTGCCCAAGATTCTATATTATTCGTGGAATATTGTTCGCAGCCTACAAAAGTGAAAGTCTAGTCTAAATAAAAGTCGGATTATTTATTCTGGTATTTATAATTTGTGCTATTCAGAAAAAAAACGGTACTCTCTGTCTACTGTCTTGCATTCTGTTTACCGTATTTTCATACGACAAATGTGAATGGTGACTTAATTTAACATTACATTACCGTGTATATTAATCCGACAGATAATCCTGATTTTAATATATGTAGGCTTAATACGCTTTCAGAAGTTTGTTGACTTGGGGATTTATTACTTCTGGAAATATTTTTATCATTTTCTAGGTATACATGTATTATTTAATTTGTTATCCTTGAAAATTATGTCTGGATGTAAGTCTTTGTTTGAATAAATGAATTTTGAGAATAACAGTTTACATAGATATCTTATTTCATAACATTATATGCACACATAGCTTGCTTTTGCAGGATACGTTCTACTCATTAGAAACCTTTTGGCGTGAGGGAAGTGAAAAGCAAATATACCTACGTGGTTGACTCTATAACAGTGGATGAAGGATTAAAATTTAGTTTGTCTTACTGAAATCTAGGAGACTAGATAGTGTTATAATCATAAGTTATTGTCCAAAACACGAACAAACTAGTGATAGTTCACTAAGCCACTTTTTATTACTTATAATTATAATAATAATATAAAGCCTAACCTTTTGTACGCTTGTCAGGATTACGGAAAGTTTTGAAGTATTTCATGTTTGACAGTTTTCTTCAGTATTTGGTAATTTTAAGCAGATAAGTCTGGCGATTTATTAATTAGCATCCTCACATGAAAACAAGTTAGGGTTAAACAGACGTGAGTAATTCACATGCATGCCATTAACCAAACTATTATGTTTATTTATACTCGTACACAAACCGGTCTTATCACAAACGTATATTTTAGCTTGATGACCAAAGTAGGATACTCTGCCACCACTAAGCATATCGTAAGTGACAGAGAATCTTTGTTAAACTGTCTGGATTTTGAAAAAAATTAAACGACTTGCACTATTTGAATTCGCGTGATTTTGCGAGCAGTAGTCAATTCATAAGTTTTGAGAAGTCAGTAGTGTTGATCCTATTTGAGCGTCTGACTTTGTAATGAAGAAATAATGTGAAGGAGGGGGTACTGAGCTCAGCGGTTTCTCATACTTTTACGTCACGATAAAGTGATCGAATGTTTTAGATCTATGTTTATCCTCTATTATTAAAGCATATATGAAACACGCTGGCACTTTTACAAAGTAGTGAATACGTGTGGAGATTTCTGTCGAAACCTCAGAGAATCATTTCATACTCATATGGACTAGATTCTGGTTAGATTCTCTGTGTTTCCCAGATATGCATCATCGGATCTACAGAAAGTAATTCAAAAGTTCCTCTGGAAAGGTTTCAATTTTTAGTATTTATTCAGCTAATATTCATAGTTCACCAGTGAAATCGATTTTTTATAGTTTTTCAGTGTGATGAACACATTTGTATATGTAGATACAGAAGAGCATAAAAAAGAGTTTAATTTCCCTTGGCTTTTGTACTTTATCAATATACAATACAGTTTCAATGTTTTATGTTACTTGTTTTGTTATTATGTCTTCCTTCCGGTATATTGTCCACCGAAACTTTTGGAAAAAGTCTGGTTGAAGAAGAGAAAAAACGAAATGAAGCGAATAGGTTATAACACACATATATATCTAGCGGAAAAAGCTTTTTAATTGCATTAGTCCGGATTTATTTTCATTTTCATGGTACACAATACTGACTGACTTACAAAGTCACAATGGGACTAGTGACCTAATTCGACCGACTTTTATGTTATTTAATAGAAGTCAGTATGCACCATCCTGAAAGCGTTTGTTCATCTCAGAATTTTAAACTGTTATAGTAGAGTAAAGGTTTTTTAACTAAAGAAAATTTGTGTGAGCCAAAATTTTCCTTATTTACTTCTGCTCTTTTAGAGTGATTCACACTGAATTAATGACTGAGTACTTACTGGAGAAACACAAATTGCGAGATACCATCGTCACTTCTGAATTACATAAGTGGGTGATATGGGAATTTATATGCACACAGGTTATAGTGAGCATATTCCTGTCACGAATAGTCAGCAAAATGATACTAGCTATTGCAACCACAACAATAATATCGGTAATAACTGATGACTTAACCTATTTAAAATAGTGACTATGTGAAGGTTCAGTTGCGAAAAACTTCACTGTGTAGCCAAGTGAAAACCCATTATTAACAAATATGTTTAAACATAAGTGTGGTTCCTTAATAAAGCATATCTCAGTTAGGAACCAAGGTGCTTTATCGAAATTGTTT